CCTACCCAAGGGCAGCCCCTCCCCCAGCCACAGCGGATGCATCCGGCAGCATTCTCAGGCAGGCACTGCCAGACCGGTTCTCCTCACCAAAGACTGGCTTCCCAGGTACATGGGGGACCCATCTAGCATCAAGACCTGAGGGAAAGACCCTGGGGGCCGTGCGGGCAGCTGTCCTGCCTCATTAACGGAGTAAGACTATGTTCTCCAGCTGCTTGTCTCTGGCCATGGTCTGTGCAGGCCTGAGCCATCCCGAGGATCTGAAGTAACTGGCACCGTGGCTGCCTCGAACAGTGAACTCGGGTCGGGAGGCCTAGTTGTGCTCGGAAATGTCTTGACTCATCAAGCCTGATCTCCTCGTCGTCCAGCCAAAGACTGTTTAAACAATCCAACCGACCCTTTGTTTCAAGGTGCAGAATGATCTAGAAACTAAAGAAGATCTGTCCAAAGCACAGTAGCCCTCCCCAACTAAACACGCACAGGTTATCTTCTTGGCTTTCCTGCTGAAGTGCAAGCTGGGAAGGATTCTTGACATCCAGCCTCCTGGTCACCAACCAGTTTCCAAGGTCCCGTGCTTGGCACCTCCCTCCCTTCACATGCCTCCCTCTTCCCTTCCCCTAACCCAGACTCATTCTCCTGTGTCAGCGTCAGCCCTGACCAGCCTCCCCATGCCCCAGGCCGGGCTGAGCCACGGGAGGTCTGCTCTCTCAAGTGGAGAGGCACATTGTGTGGTCACCCTGCCTTCACCTGAAGTGGGATGTGGGGTGGGGGTGGGGGTGGGGGGTGGAGAGTCTCAGGACCCATGGAAAATGACTCAGGCTACTCCGGGAGACCAAAGGCCAGCACGGAGGCTTCTCAGGCAGCACCGGCTATCAGCAGTGTCCCCACCCTCTCCCCATATCCATCCCAAGAGAGAACCTGCGGCCTCCTCATCTCAACCAACTGGAGCTCATCCTCCCCAGCTGCTGGAGCTCACGAGCTGTCCACCACGCCTCTGTCCCTGTCTCTCCCAAGCGATCAACAAGGCCCGTCAAGTCTATGTGGTGGATGGCCCTGTGCCTCCCACCCCGCACCCCCAATACCTGTCAGAATCCTAATTGGATTCCAACCTCACTGGAGAATCGAGTTTCTCTGTTCTGTGAATGCCAGGCAGTGCCGGGCAGGAAATCCAAGCTCCTGAGAAGGAGTAGCAGAAACAGGGAGAGGAGCCCCAGCTGTGTAATTGTCAAGGAACCAAGCAACTTGAGGCCGACAGAGATGCCTCTGTTGCTGCTACGAGGTGCTGTCATCAGCTGGCTCACAGCAACCCCTCCTTCAACAGAAGGAGATGCCACCTGGTCCCGCGCCATCCTCACCGCTGTTCTTTCGTTTGGCCCGCTGTCTCGGCCACCGTGTGCATCCATCTCGTGCCGGTGTTCCTCTCTGTCTGTGCTCCTACTTCACACCAAGCATGATGCCCTCCTCCAGGGACCGGTCTCGCATGACAATCTGTCCAGAATACTTGAGACCAAGTCTCACCATCCGTGCCTCAAAGGAGCATTCCGGCTGTACTTCTTCCGAGACAGGTGTGTTTGTCCTTTTGGCAGTCCACGGTACTTTCCATAGTCTTCCCCAGCACCATCTTTCAAATGCACCGGCTTTCCTTCGGTCTTCCTTATCAATGTCCAACTGTTACATGTATATAAAGCGATTGAAAATACCACAGACCATGGCTTGGATGAGGCCCACTGTAATCCTCAAAGTAACACCCTTGCTTTTCAACCCCTTAAAGAGATTGTGTGCAGCAGATATATCCAATGCGTGCGTTGCTTGGTCTTTTAACGACGTCAATCTTTTCTTTGTTGGTCATGACGTTACCATGTTGGTCATG